CCCCAAAACCCCAAAACCCCAAAACCCCACGAGTAACTGTAAAGAAAGAATGAGAAATATTAATAAATCAAATTTCATAATGTCCGATAAAAGAATGCTCAATTAAAAGTCTCTTAATGACCTCAAAATTTCATAGCAAAATACTCTTATACTTGCCTCTAGTCCAGGTCTGTAGCCGAGTGATTAAATAATTTAAAAATAAAGCAAATTAGTTGGAAGTTTACTCTCTTCAAAGAGCAAGGACCAGCTTTACAATTTATCAACAATCTCTAAATCTAATAACACTGCTTTTAATAGTTAAACCATTTAATACAATCAAAACTCTAGCATTCGAAAGATTTTACCTTCTGCTCCCCCTTAGTAATTTAAAACAATTATAGATGAGCAAAAGCAGCAGAATAATGATAATTTTAAGCTAAGCTCTAGTTCTTATTTTAAAAAGTAGAGTAATAGTTCAGTGGGACAACCTCAGCAAATGCTATAACCATTAAGAATCCAAAATAATGATATAAGGGTTGAGACTCCCAAAGAGGGGGATAATTTAGTAAACCTCAAAGAACTTAGATTTAAGCAGTCTCTTTCAGCAGCAAATTAATTACATCAAAATAGTGGATAAATACAAAGTCCTGTTCTACAAACATTCGCCTAGCCTTAAAATCATAGACTCAGACCTGCTACTAATGTTAATTAAAATAATAATTAAAGCGATCTCAAGCAAGTTAATTTGGCATAGATTAATCAAGCTCCTAGAAGTTATAGCAGATCTAGACCAGATGAAGATAAGGAACTGATGAGTGGATAAAAGCTAAAATAAAATCCACAGTCTCTAGACAGAAAATCATAGTAAAATTAGGGGTATAGTTATTCCAGTAGGATTGACATGAAATTAAATGAATCAGACTTTACAAAATTCAAGGACAATTTTAATATTCAAAAAGTACTTTCTCCTTATCAAGGGCTCAGAATGCCTTAATAGTAGTAGTTGATAGAAGATAAGAGTGATGAGATAAATAGTTTGAAGCATAAAAGAAAACATTCAAAGTCAGATGTTTAGCTGCAATAAGATAGTATGGGCACTGCATCTTCAGAAGTAACTGACAAATTCAAGAACATCAAAAACCTTTAGAAAAATTCATCTTCTTCAAGATTGTATTTGCCTCCAGCAAAAGACTCCAAGATGTTTTTTAGTAATATGGGCAACAGCAATCAGATTCAAAACGAGACAACTTTCCAAAGAAAATTAAATAATTTATCTAGAGGCAGTGCAGACAACGAAAGTCAACAGATTATTTCAAATAATCTTAGTCAAAATTTATCCAAGTCTTAATCAGCTCAAAGTTTGTTATTGAAGAATAAAAGGAATGAACTGTAGCTTTATTAATGCACTAATTTAAACATTGTAAACGAAGAAAATGAAAACCAACTCCTGAGTGATAGTTACTAAAAAGCAGACTCAAAATGCAAAGAAAGCACCCCTGATGATTAAAAGTTGAAATTCTAGCCATTAGCATCAGCAACTGCTACAAAATTCTTTGATAAAAGATTTATTGATAGAGTTCAGGGTGTAAATCAAGAGTAAAAATCAATTGATATAGAGAATAAATCATCTGTAAGATTAGAAAATGTAAACAACTCAATTATGAGCTCCTACTACACTCGTCCTAAATAGGAAAAATCTTTATAATTCCTTAAGTACAGTGCAATATCCAAAGCAGGACGAAACGCTAGACTTCAAACTAAGACTAATCAAGATTCATATGCGGTGATCAAAGGATTTTGTGGTTCTTAGACTAATTGGTATTTTGGAGTATTTGACGGACATGGAACATATGGGCACCTAGCATCAGAATATGCATCGAAGGCTCTCTCGTCCAGAATGTCTACACTAGTTTATAATCAATAGCATTCATACTAAGGAAATGGTAATCAAAAGTTTGATGTAAATAGGGTGAAAGATTTAACAGATGTTAGCTCGCTAGATGAGCAAAACCTAAGAGGCATCATAACTAATGCCTATGAATGGACTAACGAGTAGATGGGTCTTTAAGGCTTTGATGTATCTTACAGCGGCTCTACATCAGTAACACTTGTTGTAGTTAAAGATAGCTTCATTGTGGCAAATGCGGGAGACTCAAGATGTATAGTATTTAGAAAGAGCTCTCCAGGAGAGTAGCAGGAGGCTGAATGCTTAAGTCGTGATCACAAGCCAAATCTTGCTGGTGAATCGGAGAGAATCATCTCTAGAAATGGAAGAATTGATTCATTTAAAGACTTTAATGGTAATAATATCGGCCCAATGAGAGTCTGGATGAAAAATGAAGACATCCCAGGACTGGCAATGAGTAGATCCTTAGGGGATGCAGTGGCTGAATCACTAGGAGTCATTCCTACTCCAGATATCAAGTTTTATTAGAGGCAGCCAGATAAAGATAGAGCTATCGTAGTTTGCAGTGATGGGGTTTCAGAGTTTCTTGAGAACGAGTAAATTGGGCAAATAATAGAACCTTACTATAAGAATAATGATACTGAGGGAGCTTGTAGAAAACTTGTAGAAGAAGCAACTAATTAATGGTTGAAAGAAGAATCAGTTATCGATGATATAACTGCAATAGTAATATTTTTCCATTGAATAGTGTGCTATCTGCTGGTGCATTGATATCTATCATATTAAATAAGTCTAATATTCTTTTGGCTCCAACTAACATATATATACCAGAGTTTTAATTAATTCTTAACTCTTAATTTTATTTCTACCTGGGGTTTTGGGGTTTTGGGGTTTTGGGG